CTCATTGTTACTCTTACTTTTTCTCAACCTTTATGATTTTGTACTAAGCCTACCGATTCTGTAGCATTTTATTACAATTCACAATTTAGCCTCTCTATTTTATCATTAGACATTATCGGTCAGCCCTCACATCCAGTACCTCCTTTGTTAACGTGTCTTTGCGTGTATTTTGTGGTTATCGCATTTTTCTCACCCCAAGGACACTTGTATTCTGTTAACTATAAAACAACAACTATATCACCCATTATTGTTCATTCACACTTCATCACATTTTCCTGACTAAACACCCTATACTACACATTTAATTGACTGACTATGCTAACTAATGGACTATCGTCTCAACTTACACATGCACCCCAATACAGTTTCTGATATTATTTTTTCCATTTGACTTTATTGGCTGGCTATATGTACTCTATTATTCATGGATTTATAACTAACTGTAGAGCCTGAACAAGAAGAAGAAGTTATCGAAACCACAATTGTTCGTTCAAAATCTTGTTTTGATTTCAATATGGGGATTTTTCATTTACTGAAATCTTGTGAGCATCCCGTTGCACTGAAGGCACTCAACAAGTACTTGAAGTATAGTGCAAAGCTTGCTGAAGCGAAAACTGATGTGGATTTTATCCGAAACTGTATTGAGAATAACCATTATCCTAAATCATTTTCTAAATCACTTCGTCAATGTAAAGTGCACCCAAATGCGAAATCTCTCAAGCGATTCGCTCTTAATTAGATTGAATCTCTCCAAGGATATATTAGCACATTAGAAAGAAATATACCACAGAGACAATATGCTGTTGATGAACTCCCCACACATTTAAAGAAAATTATTCTTAAAATACGTCCATGATGTTTCTAAAACCAGAGAAACTAAAAAAAGAACCCAGCTTACAAAAGACCTAGACAGGGAAATATCAGAACCCACTTTCCCGAGGACCCTGAAAGGTATGTCTTCAACTTTTCCACTGTGACTTTAGATAAGACTGCTATGGAAGTGTTGTCACTAGCCCCTAAAATTTTGCGATAAAAGAGTTAATATTGACCAATTACAAACAGAAGTACAGTTTGAGAACCTCTTCATTCAGACACTTGACCTAACGCCGTCCTCCCAACACGAGTTAGACAGATTTAAAAGTGCCTTGGTTGATTGTTGTTATCAGCACAATAATGCCAAGATTGACAAGAAAAGTATATTAACTAAAAAGCATAGAGAATGTCTCAAAAAACTAAAGTCGGATGACAGCATTATTATCATAAAGCCAGACAAGGGATCAGGTACAGTAACTTTAAACAAACGCGACTATATTGATAAGATGAACAACCTAACCGTTCCAAGTTTCAAAAGTTAGGTAATAGTAAAGATTCGAATGAAGCAACAGAACGTCAGTTTGTTAAAACTCTGACGTCTCTAAAAAATGAATATCTAATTGATAGTTCCATCTTCGACGCTATTAAGCCCACCGGAACTCATACGCCTAGACTTTATGGTTTACCCAAGATACATAAGCAGGGAATCCCCCTACGACCAATCCTAGACATGTCGAACTCGCCCTTCCATTTAACTGCCAAATGGTTGGTAAAACTGTTAGAACCGTTACGCCGCCAGTTGGTTAAATATAGTGTAAAAGATGTCTTTAACTTTGTTGAAAACATTAAAGATATGAACATAGCAGACAAAACTATGTTATCGCTGGACGTAACATCACTATTTACCAACGTCCCCCTTGTAGAAACTGTCGACTACATATGTGAACAACTCGTAGAAAAGAAAATAGAAATTGGAATCACACCAAGAAAATTGAAAGAGTTATTACTAAAATGCACTATGAATGTTCAATTTGTATTTAATAAGGAGTACTACCGCCAAATAGATGGGGTTGCTATGGGCTCTCCCCTTGGATCCTTATTAGCTGACATATTTCTATCCAAATTGGAAAATGGTCCTTTAAAAGAGATACTAAACCAACTCGATTATTATTGTCGATATGTTGACGACACCTTTATCATTTGTAACAATAATTTGGATAGACAACACCTGCTCCAAGTCTTCAATAAGGTACACCCAGCTATTAAATTCACTTGTGAAGAGGAACTCCAAGATAGTATTCCCTTTCTGGATGTTCTTCTCACAAAAAGATCAGACGGTACCTTGAAAAGAAACATCTATAGGAAAGCGACGTGGAACGGACAATACACCCACTTCCATAGCTTCATACCTATACAATATAAGCGCAACCTAATTCGCTGTCTTAGTCATAGAATTAGACGCATATGTACCGAGGATTGTATTGAAGATGAAATAAAAAATCTTACAAACGCCTTGCTACAAAATGACTACCCTACCAACTTTGTAAAGAAGTATATCTACGAAACTACACATAAAACCAAGCGAGACACAGTAAGAAAAACTTTACTTAAATGTACAATTCAAAGGCGATATAGCCAGCGATATATTAAACCGTAGATTAACAAGATCAATTGAAAGAACTTTTAATGCCACAAAACTGTATGTCAGCTTCTCAACCAAACCAATATTGACACTGTGCATTAAAGATAGATTGCCCAAAATGGCGACATCAATGTGTGTATATAAATTCAACTGCTCCTGTGGAGCTAGTTATATAGGTCGTACTCAAAGAAACTTATCTTTACGCACTCGTGAACATATTCCTGTTTGGCTTGGGAAAAGAGCAACCAAATCATTAAATAGTGCAATTCTGTCTCATCTAGTGGATAGCGAACACAGCAACAAAGTAGATGAGTCATTTACGGTTGTGTATCGAGTACCGAACAATCTCCCCAAAGGCACACGATTACGCCTCCTAGCCATAGCTGAGGCTTTAGAGATTAATAGAGAGAGACCAGACCTATGTGTACAGAAAAAACTTATTCACTCTCTTTGTCTACCCTGGCCCACTATAAGGTCATCAGGATAATAATTTTTCGTACTATTATTATCACTTTGTGATATCATGTCTTTATTATCCATTTCTCCACCCAGTTTATTTTACCTCATTGTTACCCTTACTTTTTGTCAACCTTTATGATTTTGTACTAAGCCTACCGATTCTGTAGCATTTTATTACAATTCACAATTTAGCCTCTTTATTTTATCATTAGACATTATCGGTCAGCCCTCACATCCAGTACCTCCTTTGTTAACGTGTCTTTGCGTGTATTTTGTGGTTATCGCATTTTTCTCACCCCAAGGACACTTGTATTCTGTTAACTATAAAACAACAACTATATCACCCAATTATTGTTCATTCACACTTCATCACATTTTCCTGACTAAACACCCTATACTACACATTTAATTGACTGACTATGCTAACTAATGGACTATCGTCTCAACTTACACATGCACCCCAATACAGTTTCTGATATTATTTTTTCCATTTGACTTTATTGGCTGGCTATATGTACTCTATTATTCATGGATTTATAACTAACTGTAGAGCCTGAAGAAGAAGTTATCGAGACGTAATTTGTCTAAAATCGTGTATTGAGTATTTACGCACAGCATTTCGAACAATCTGATCACACGCGGACTTGTCATGGGATTATATATATGAAATTAATAAAGAGTTGAAAGGTGAGAAAATAGACTTAGGTCAAGTTAAAAGGACATACTGAAGGTCAAAATAATAATGAAGACCACTATACCAAATAGCATAGCGAATAGTACATCTGCTATGGTATGAAAACAAAATTTACCAAGAAAGGTTTAGTATGATGACGAATTGTTTCTTTGAGCGCATAAAGGTGGCTTAAACTTTCTAATTGCCAGTTAGGGCTTCCACAAACTTAAGAATATGCCTCAAACACGTTATATGGATAGGTTTAAAAGACTTGTTAACGTCAATTTCATGTCCTGTCTCTATAATATGTTTCGCAATAGAGGAGCTAGGTCTCCTATTCTCACCATTAATGGGTTCTGATTATTATTAATATTGCTCCCTTGGGTTCCTAGTGGAATATAAGGCTTCAACTGCACGTCTCCACTTGCTTCTGTCTTCCGCTGTGCTTTTCACCTGCATCCATGTTAGTCCATTTTCTTTCAACTCCTCTTCACACGATCTCCTCCATGTCACCTTTGAACTGATGACCCACTCGCCGCTTCCCTTTTGGGTTCCACTAGAGGGCTTGGCGCGCGATGTCACCCAGCGGTCTCCTCAGCGAGTGTCCGATCCATCGCCACTTTCTCCTGCCTATTTGTTGGTTGGCTATTGGTTCTTGTTTTATTTTCTTTTTTCCCATAGTTCCTTGTTGGTGGCCATCTGATCTTCAGTATAGATCCAGCGAAGACAGTTGTTGGTTGATAAAGGTCTGCAACAGGCTGTTAGAAATATTCTTTGTGACCCACCCGCTAAGTTTCTGATCCGTATAGAAGAGCTGACTGACTTGACGTTTGTATTGAAAATCCGACCGAATTTTGTTGTTGATGCTGAGTGAAGATTTCCAGATTGGTTTCAGATTGATGATGAATGTGTTTCTCGCCTGCCTTCCCGAATCCCGCTCGATTTGACATCCTCGTCCGTTCCGACTGTCTGTAGTTGAGACAATGCTCCCCAGATAAGTGAATGAATGAAGTAACCTCTTTCAAATCCCTCCCGTTGATGGTGATCGGCGCTGGATAATACTGCTGTTTTTGTTGTTGTTGGTTGGCTGGTTATTTTCATCACCTCCGTCTTGTCTATGTTCACCTGGAGTCCTGTCTTCACTACCTGCTTCTTCAATCAGTTTGTCGGTTTTCGCTTGTAAATCTTCGATTTTGTGTCACATCAAGCATAAATCATCCACGCGCGAAATCCAGGTCTTCTAGGTTCTTCGAGTCGGTCGACCCAGGATATTTCTGTCTTCTCGTTTCCCACTCACTGTCTGACGCATAATCCAGTCCACCACAATTAGGAATATCATTGTGGGTGATAATAAGCACCGTTGTCGTACAGCTGTTGAATAAGGTTGATAAATATTTGGGGTATGCCGTAGTACCTGGGGGAGGGGTGTTGTTCCCACTGAGAACAGGAACCCATCGTTTCATAAATGTAGACGCGTTATCCATTAGACTACTTAGAGACCACTTAGGCTTTGGAGTTTGAGACGATGAGTCCTAGATGGTTGTTTCGTCCTAGCTTTGGACTTTTCAACCGTATCAACCGATGTTGTCACCATAGATCGACCGATCGATCGATCGATCCAGGAAATTCAGGCTACAGAATGAGATCTCAGCCTCTTGGTGGAAGTCCTATAATAATCTGTGTATCTTACTACCAGGGAATTTCTAGAAGCCTGATACTCCCAATGTGTGTCACCTACTATAGACCAAATTTACCAGCTGCTAATAAAAAGTAAGTCATCTCATATATGACAAGAAAGTTCAAATTCCAACCGAATAAAAATGATCAATACAGTTGTAAATTAACAACCAATCACGGCAAGGGAGGTTGTCAGGAGACACAACACTAGATCACCATTCATGAAAAATTCAATTAAATGAAATCATTTCACATTAAGGTTTGCGCTGAAGACATATTTAATTGTCATTAGTTCAAATTTTTTCTTAAATATGAAAATTATATACAATATTGAAAAGAAAAAGTGTGTTATTCAGACAGAAAGCCATAAAAGTCAATTACCTAATGCATATATAGAAATATTATTAATTAATAAAAGCATATCGCTTGGATCATTTTTGTGAATAGATTGATTAAAGGCATCTCTATCTTGACTATAGTGCAATGAATAAATTAACACAGCAATTTCAACGAGTTTTAAATGTTAACTGAACAGGTAGACGATGTTTCATTTCCCTTAGAGAATAAGATGTACTCTGTGAATATACCTCCAAGATATTATTCCATACACCTTTATTATAAAATTGTCTATACTGATGATTTTTTCTCTGTTGCATAGGATAGACATCATTTTTTCCACCAGTTGAATAATTTCTCCGATTCTGTCCTGATCGATTTTCTTCCGCAAATGTTGACGACATACCAGTATGCAATACTTCGTGACTGATAAATGTCTGTCGCATCATCTTCCTCTGATCCTCACCGACGACGTCATCAACAACATCATCAAGGTCATTGCCATCAGCAATATTATAATGACGATGATAATGCTGATGGTACTGCTGATGATTGTGTTTATTTGAGAAAGACTTTCTTGACATCATAATCGACAGTTTCTTTCTGCCTTGAAAGTATTCATATGATGTACAATTGATAAGAATAAGCCATAGATGGAATATTAAATAATGCATCAGGAATAATTCAGCGATAATCAGCATGGCAAGCATTCCGATAACACGAGGAAATGTGACGAATAGATGCTATGCAAAGACAAAAAAATTAAAAAAAAACATATATCATACGAAGAAATTAAGAGAATCAGTTCAAAGAACTTTTAATGCTGACGGCGAACTACACGTATTATTCTCTACACCACCGATGGTGGTGATTCCTCGACTGAAAGATGAAGTACCTAGACTAGCTAGTCACTTCAAATTGTATCTACCAATTCAACTGCTCTCCTGTGGTGGAGCGAGTTATATTGGCTGTTGCTCTAGGAACTTGATTGTTCGTGCTCACTCGACAACATCTTCCAGTATGGCAAAGTAAAGGTGCAGTGAAAACCATTAACAGTTCGATATTAGACCATCTGGTGCAAACCAACCGGCCACAAAGCCAGACAATGTCGAAGAATCCTTCTCTATAATCTACCGGGTGCCTAATAAATTGACAAAAACATCCAGGTACCGCATGCTCCAAACAGCAGAGGCTATTGAGATTCGCCTCAAAAAACCAGTGCTCCGTGTGTAAAAGAAACAAGTCCAGCCCCTATTACTGCCTTGGCCTACAGAAGGGACTATAAATTCATGAATTTTTAATATTATCTTTCCTAATTTCTCTGATATTCAGTGTGTAGTGTTATGTTGATGCTATTTAAGTATAATCTATTGATATTATTATTATTGGTTCGATGTTATTTGATTAGCATTAATGTTGTTCATAATACTGATTCATTCATTCACTATAATGTATATATAACTGTAGAGCCTGATGCCGAGAAAATACATTGCACTAATTAAGGCACTCTACTCGTAATCATACAGCCAAGTGAGGGTTTACGGCGAGTTGTCATCTGAACTGGTGACGACTAGTGGTGTCTGTCAAGGATGCCCATTATACCCATTTCTATTCAACTTCATCATAGATGTACTAATGGACTTAACCCTAACTGACTTCAGAGACTCAGGGATTGACTTGCTACCACAAGGGAATAATCTCGTTGACTTAGAATATGCAGATGATATAGTCCTACTAGGCGAGGACGCTGACAAAATCCAGCAGAGTCTTCTAAACAGCTTGAGCTGCAATCTAAGAAGGTTTGGCATGCGATTCACCCCCTCACGCCAAATGCAAGGTGATGTTACATGTATTTCATATGCCTAGTCATCGCTTTCCTAGACGAGCAATGTTAGCGGATATAGGGTAAGGCTGGAAAAGAGCTAGCGGAGGTCAAACCAAAACATGGCACCAGTCAATGAAATCCACAACAGTTAGTCTAAGCCAGCCACGTAGGAAGGTGTAGACTTCCTGCTTGAGGTCCTCGGGACGGTAAAACCCAATGGTGGCTGGAAACAATTAGTGATATGGCTCAAGCTCATCGTTCTCCATGATGGCTGGTGCAGATGCATCCACTCCTTGTGACTTATGATTTCCAATGAAACTATATTGTTCTTCGTTATTACTATTCCTTTGTCCCATCTCACACCTCTGTTTACTGTCTCTATTATGCATTTCTTCTACTTTCTTCTGTTGCTTTGTGTGCTACACGGAGGGAGTGTGGCGACTTGAACTGCGGCACATTTGTTCAAAGTTCTATGTCGAAAACAGACAGATAGACAGGGCCTGATGAAGAAGGCATTATCGAAAAGAGTACTCTTTGTTGTGTATCCATTCTTTTGAAAATTTTAATGGGCATTTTTAATCAGATAAATATTTACTAACGTGTATATTAGATTTCGCAACAGATAAGCATCACTAAGAGGGATTCACTGAAAACCAGAGAGTACAGTGAACAACAAGCTGTTTCGTCCTATTTAGAAACTCTTCAGTACCCATAACCTCACCAGGTTACGAGACCGAAGGTCAGTGACCATTCAGCAGCTACTTTGATAGGGCTTTGGTGAGAGTAGCACTACAAATGCATCCCACCACTATATACTACTGACTGAAAGAGATAAGTAGTAGTTGAACAACAATCATATTAACCAGTAGTGCTCATTGGTCTGTGAAGCCGAAGTGATCTAGTGCACCCGACGGCCGCTTCCCTAGTTGTTTGAGGCCAAAATCATCAGTGGTGTGTGTATATCCAGTTGGACTCAGATCAAGTAGGCGAATCAGTTATAAACCAGTCAATGTCTGGGCGGCTAAATAATCTTGGTTTCCAAAGGAAATTATGGTGAAATAATCACCTCGCGAAGAGTGATGAAAATTGCCAAGTAATTTGAGAATTGTCGATTTGATTTACGCGTCACTTGAATTCCTGTCCGGATGGTTGTTGAATGGTCAACGAGGTTGAGCTCACAACTTGAAAGTCCTTGGTTCGATTTCTGTTGGGTGGGGTTGAAGATGTGCATTGTGCTGAGGAGTCACAAAATAGAACGAAACAGCTTATTATTCAATGTGCTCTCTGGTTTTGTTTAATAATTTCTCTAACTGATATTGATTCATGACGGAATCTAACAAGTGAAACTGAATAAAAATATATTACTATTATTATTATTCCTTTGAGTCCCTAGTTGAACATAGGGCTTCATTCAACAACACATTTCCACTTTGTTCTGTTTTCTACTCTGTTCTTTAGCTGGGTTTACGATTGACCATAATCTGCCATATCTTCCCCCCCCCCCCCTACCCTAACACGATCTCCTCCATGTCATCCTCACCATCAACGACCCTGCATTGAGTGCAATGTCATTCGATGGCCTCCTCAATGCATGCCAAATCTATCTTCATTTTATCCTGCCTCCAAAGCCTCAGGATGGTCGGGGGTGGGTACCTTGCGCTGCGGGTTGGCCACCCCTCCGCACACCTCTTGAAATGCTCCCATATGACCGGGCGTCTTACATAGCCTCTCCTGAGGAAGTCCTACTCACTGCCTTCACGTGGCGGTGTTTTTTTCACCAAAGTGAAAGGGCAAAAGCGGATGCCCGGCGCTCTCCACCGGGTTGACTGTCCATTGGATGACAGTCTAGGGGAAATGGCTAAACCCTGATTCCAAACCCCCAACGACTGGCGTATGAAGCTCACCGGCAGACGTATGGACAAAGGGCTTGTTGGATGTCCTGGATGTCTGGCCCCATTCAAAAAGGCGTATGAACCGAACTCCGGTCACCGGCTGGCTGCCAATGGATAGTGGACTCCTTACTCCACTCCTACTGCCTTGTAGGTCACACTTGGTTGTGTAAAGGCTAGAGCTGCACTCTCAAACAAAAAACCGAGCGTTGCTGGGGACATCACTCGTACCAAATTCCCATGAAACTTCATGAACTCTCTTACAAATTGCCGCGCCTGAGCAGTGATGATTCGAGACGTTTATGAAGCCGGCTCATCCTCCCGTAGGAGATAGCCGAAGTAAAGCAAGCAAGCATATGTGTTGAGTAATTGACTCTTGCCTGTTGGTTTGTTCCCCCGGCTAGGCTTTCTTGTTACTAACTATTTCTGGACAGCTGGTCATTTGATCTTCAGCATGCAGCTAGAGAGAGAAGGCAACTGTTGATAAGAGTCTGTAACAGGCTGTTGGAAATCATTTTCGTTATACACACTGGGTCAAGTTTTTAACCCGTATAAGGAGAACTGACTACTAACTTCCCTCAAAACTTTTGTTCAAAATCCGAAATTTTGTTGATTATGATGCTGGTTGAGTGAAGTGGAAGATTTTCAAACTGGTTTCAGATTGATGAAAGCGCGTTTATCTTGCCTTTCCGATATTCTCATTGACGTTGACATCTTCATCCGTTCCGACTGTCTATAATAGTTGAAACAATGCTTCCCAGATAAGTAAAGAAAGAAACTCAGACTAACTGGAGTCCCTCAACCTCTGCTTTCACAATTTGTCAACTCTCGTATCCTACCTATTCTACTTTACTGTTCCCCGTTAGTCTTTCCTGGGTTACTGAAAAAGGATTATACCATCCTGAGAAGGATGTTGAAGGTAGTTAGTAGGACTAGCGGTGTAAAACTCAGTCAGCTCGTCACAACATTAGTGGATAAGCATCTGAATACATGTGAGAAATGGTCTAAAACCATACTCTCTGACCCCCAACACTCCCTCTATTCCCAACTCTCTCCTTGCATCTCATCAGGTAGAACCAGAAATCAGTACAAAATAATATATGCTCGTACAACCAAGTATAGGAACTCAGCGATACCATATTTGGCCAGCCCGTGTTCTAAGTGACAGAGACAATGTTAGGCGTAAAACTTATGACTTGCTTTGTTGTTAATAACATAATTTTGGCCCTTGTTATTTCCCCCTTACACTCTCTTATGTGTACTCTATAGTGAACAACCTTCTTAAACATACTTAGCTGCTTAAAATTATTATCATTGGCTTACATTTTTATTCTTTATTCTATTCCTTCTTTATACATCTACTGGGTCCGACTATATTATCACTATGATTATTAAAAATTGTCCCGTCATTAACCATCATGTAACATTAGTTTTGTGGTTGTTCTTTGTTTGGCACTATTTAACTGACAATCTTGGTCGTGAACGCCGTTATCACCATCTTAAAAAAATTTTGTATTATGCAGGATTACTCACACTACCACTACAAACACCGCATTAGTGCTGACAATAAAAAAACACACAACCTGAAATGTTTATTTTATGATTGTTTAGTGTAGTTCAATCAAATTAACTGATCACCTTGGCTATTAACATTCTTAAGAACATCTCATAATTTCTTGTATGATTATAGCTGTTACTGTTCACCACGCATACACATATCGTAGCTTCCATAACGCAGTACTGAAATATTTTTTTTCATTATTTGTGCTGATCTTCCTTTTTACTTGGTATTTTTATTGCATTTTTTTTGTTATTTCTGTGTTTCTTTTTTGGTTTTTTGTTATTATTGTTTTTTTTGTTTTTTTTTAAATATTTTATTTCTTTTTGTAATACTCCTTTTAAATGTACGATGAAATTAGATGCAATATTGTAGATATTGTAGATATGTGCTGAAAGTTCCACACTGTACCACAAGTACTATTTCTGGAATAAAGCGAAATTGTTAAAAAGAAGGGAACCTCTGTTGAAT